ATATCTCTCGCCACTGACACGAGCCGTGGCCAAAGAAATTACTCCGGATCCCCAGGTTAACAAACAGTTCACTGCACGATCCACCCCAGAAGGCAAGAAATCATAAAATAATCTGGATTCTTACTCTATGCATGGATCGAGAGCGTAAGAATGACATTTTATTGATGAAACTGTCACGTTTTATATCTCCATTTCATATATAATGTGTTATGTACAATACGCAGAATACAGGTACATGCTTGCCCTGGACTGCTTAGCGTTCTCCATTGATATGCCGCAAGGTAAGCAGGGAGTCTCCCGTGAACTGAACCATCTTTACAAAGGCAAAGATCCCATGTATAGCCTCAACAGACGTTTTGGGCAAGTGCCATTAGCAAGCACCAATGAAGGCCAGCACAGCACATGAGGAGGTGGGTGGCCAGCACCATGCCGGGCCGCCTTTGTCTCCCCAGCGGCGATGTTTATTACACACCACACCAGGTACTAATTTGAGGCCGAGTCGACCTTGGGGAGGAGGCCCAGGACCTGTTTAGATATTAAACATTGTTATTGGCCCTGAGCAGGAATCAACCTTGGGTCGCTGGGCTCATAGCACCACGTGCTAACCACTGGACTACCGCACCACACCGTTCCTACAAAGAACACATACACACCGCATCATATTTATTTATCACTGGAAAATATGATCTACACTTACGTTAAATATAAGAGACTACTGTGGTAAATTAAATTTATGCCAGACACCTCGTCATCACTTTGTTCCTTCTGCCTGACCCCTAATCTATTCCAAGGTAGACAAATGGCAACCATGTTCGGCTCTCAGACTTCCACTGTATGGCTTCAGGCCTATTATAATAATTAAAGTAGTTTGACCATTATGCTTGTAACCTGCATTGGCAAGGTGCAGCTGCACAAAATACACGGTTCTGAACATGTGTGCACTTGTTTTAAGTGTTTTTAAATCGTGAGCAATTAATGTGCAAAGCACCCCGGGCAGGAGCTGTGTTGGTAATGAGTAGCAATTCACATAACAATGACTGCGATGTAAAGAGGGGACAACATTTGACTATAAATGCTTGAATTTCTGGAGGGCTTAAGCCGGATTATAGAACCAAAATATGAAAGCCACCGTTCAGCTTTGCAGAGGGGATTTAAGGGAGGAGGAAAAAAACCGCTATCACCTTTGCGCACACAGAAATTGCTATCGAAATCGCGAATTGAAAAAGGTTTGGCTCCATGATTGCGTGGGTGCTCCGAGGCGGACGGGGAGGTCGGCTGGCATGGCCAGGTAGGCAGACCCAGCAGAGCCAGAGCCAGCCAAGGCCTTGGGATGGCACCACCTGGGGTTGTCACCTCATCCACAGACCCGGACATTTGTAATTAAATTTTTGGGTCAGATCACTGTAAGTAAAATTTGTGTCGTAACCCCTCGCCCCTTACTCGACACGGCCAATTAACCCTTTCTCATTCCGATGAGGCAAGTGGACGTCATTAATTTTTCGTTTCGAACATTAATAAATAAGTCACGTGAACAAACGTGCCTAACGTATTACTGCTCCGGCACACCGGTAGTGTCGGAGAGAATTTAACGACATTGGCCAGACGATATTTTTCAGTCAACCTAGGTCTATCATCGAAACGGTGCTGTATACCGTAACGAAGTTCAACACAATACCACCGGCCAGATCTCGGTACATATCAATCATATTGCTGGCACCCGAGCACAGGTGCCAATTCCCAGACTGCCTGGGTAACACCCAGACAGGTGGCATCCCAAGCGCCGCCACTCAAAACGCACAAGTCACTGGATGGGTGACACACCCAATCTATGCCTTCACTCACGAATAATATAGGGTCCTTTTGTCAATAACCAGCTGCATGAAAGCCTGCCAACACTGTGTCGGTCGTGGGTTGCTGGAGGCGGGAAGTGTAGACTTGGGAACATTGGACAGTGGAGCAGTGGAGTTTGCTACACTGCCCTCTGATGACCACTACATGGCCCCAGGCGGTTGTCATTTATCACGTGACGAACCATGCACAGCTAGATTTATCACGCCAGAGTCCATGTTCATTGCTCGATTTATTTGACGGGCATAATATCCTTGCAGTTCATGGAACCCACAGGTGACTCTGTATGCTCACGGGATTTGGGTGAATTCATCATTTTCAGCCCTTTGTCAATCCACTGCTGGATGAAGCCCTCCCCCATGCCGCATCGATTTGACTATACTTCACAATGCTGCCTGTCAATGCGGGAATGTGAAGTCGGGGGGACACCCCAGGACTGGTTCGCAACAAATTACTACTCTCCACTGATGTTTGACGTGGCTGGGAATCGAACCGCCATTGGTGGGGGTTACACGGCAGTGCCATAACCACTGGGACAGAGCAACCCGTGCCCTCCCGCTGCCCCTATCCCCCAACTTCCACTCAACAAACTTTGATTCACATTGGAGCCTAAACTAAAACTAAACTATTCATTTTATTTCACCGGGTAAGGAAATACCACTGAGCTATCTCGTTATTTTTCAGAAACCACCTGGCCACAAATGATAGCTCAACGAAGTGGCTTACCATCGTGGAAATGTATAGCAGCCAAATACTCTTAAGGCACGTTTATAAATGTGGAGGGAGAAAAATCCACACGACCACGGGAAGAGAGACACGCAAACTCCAAATATGCAGCCATCAGGGTCGCGATCGAACCCATGACCTCCGCTGTATACCAGGCGACTGTGTTAACATCTCGCCACCGCTGCGCCCGTATTTCGAGATGAAATATGTCTCGATGCAAATTGCGGGCACTTATTGCTGATGTACTTTACTGTTGGCCACTGCATTTTTTTTTTTACAACACAAACCTGCCACGCTTGCATGTGGGCAAACGCAGGACGTATCAGCTATTTCGACGAAGGTGAACAGAAAACAAGCCAAGTATATTTTTAAGACTGAAATGATCGCAATGGGTTTTTTGAATTCCAATGACCCCTTTACGGTGGCGGTCTACATATATATTTTTTTCGTTAGAAATTTGCAACAGTACTGCCGGTACCAAGCAAATATCACACACCGTATCAAGATAAATACCCCCCTTACAGACTTTAAACAGTGCTGTTAGCAAGCAACGATCAAGACTAGCACGGCACACGAGGGGGTGGGTGAATCGACCTAGGGGAGGCCCTGGACCAGTTCAAATATTCGCTCCTGTTGGTGGTGAGCGGGAATTGAACTCGGGTTACCTAGTTCATAGCAATGTGCTAACCAATGCACTACCATCCCCCACACAATATATAAACACACACTCTCACAAAAATCACGCTGCTAATGTATAATTGCTACTCTAAACATATTTGATATATTTAATACAATTATCACAGAGGTCACTGCCATTCATTCCACTGCTGAGACAATGTACCTCCGTTGGCTTTTCCGCCTATCATTTATGACGCCCAATTGGTGCTCGTCATCCACCACCCTCGGTCATGACTGAAGACAAAAGAGGGAAAGTGTCAACGCCGTGCGGCGGTGGGGGTTGGGAGGGACCCGTTGGGAAACGGCAAATTTGCAGGCGCGTTCAACCCGGTCGATTTCTCGCCACAAAAAAAAGAATGCCTCCCCCGCTCCTCAACGCCTGAGCTTGAGACAGCCATGCCATTTGCATGAACGTAGCAGCATGCCTAGCTCGCTCGACGACTCCCGTTGACCCTGGGCTTGCAAAACGTGGACGGGGCCAGTGAATTCCAAGGGCACGAATCAATTGAGTGGCGTGATGAGGACGGTGAAAGCGCAGCAGGAGGGGCCATTTATTTGCACAGACAGGTGGGGAAGCAACGGCCTCCACCCGAACACCGGCTTTTCTCCCTCGTGTCGGGGCATGCGAGTGCGCGCTTACGGGATTTGATCGCGGCCGCGGGTTCCTAGAGCTCGGTACGACGTGAGCCATGCAACGTGCGCGGGTTGTGTATCCACGACCGAAACAGGAGGATTTCTCCACAACTCTGGCTGTCGCCTGATGATGCTGGTTGTAATTGAGGGCGTAACGTCATAGTACTCGAATTGTAAATGTTGTGGGTTACTCTCACTAGTAACGAATTGGCCACGTTTTTGTTTAAGTGACAAACCTTACTAATTGGCTGTGTCGGGTGGTGGCGGGTTTAACGACACATTTATATTTACACGATCTTACCCAAAAATCTCTATAATGGGTAGTGTCCCCACTGCGCACAGTTCAGCCGGAGTTGCGATTTTACCCGGGCGCGGAATTGGTGAGGGCAACGGTTGGAACTAAATTCACATTAAGGTAGAGAGAGAGAGAGGCAGAAAAATCACAATAAGGTGACAGCGACGAACGAATGAAGCGAACGATGATGGGAAACAGCCACAGCTACAAGGGCAAGAACAGGTACAGCAAAACAAGACAATGGAGTGAACGCAGAGACCGAGGCAAAGAGAAACGGAACAGAGGCAGAGAAACAGAGGAGAGAGACAGATGGAGACAAAGGCAGAAGCAGAGAGGCAGGGGACGGCTGGACAGTGAGTGAAATAAATTAAATGAATGGAACGAATCACACGGAGGTTGGAATCTGAAACAGGAGCAGAAGTACAGACAGGGAAAAGTTGAGAGACAGGGTATTACACAGAATTGGAGAAATACACATGATTACTGACAAGATCAGATACAGATTGAAGATTTTTAAAAATACACAGGATTACAAAGACGATCTCAGACTGAGAGGGAATCAGATACAGACACAGATGCAGAAACAGGATCGTGCAGAATCAGAGAGAGGATCGTGCAGAATCAGAGAGAGGATCACGCAGAATCAGAGAGAGGATCACGCAGAATCAGAGAGAGGATCACGCAGAATCAGAGAGAGGATTACGCAGAATCAGAGAGAGGATCGTGCAGAATCAGAGAGAGGATCGCGAAGAACCAGAGAGAGGATCGCGAAGAACCAGGGGGAGGATGATCCGAGTCGGAGGGTGCCGGCCGGGCTCACCGAGTGGGGGCAGCTCATACTCCACCTCGAGCACAACTCGCTCGCCCACGTTCTTCAGGAGGCTGATGATCTCGTCGTGCCTCAGCCGCGTCAGGTTTATGCCGTTCACTGTGCGGATGCAGTCCCCCACGTTGAGCTGGTCACTCCTGCGAAGGGCATCCCCGGGTCAGTGGTGCGGCCGTCGAGCGGGCGGGCGGGCGGTTGCAACCCGCGCGCGCACCAGGCCACGCGAGCGGGAGAGGGACCAGAGGGGGGCGGGTGGAGGGGGGGGCAAGGGGTGGTTGGCAGGGTGCCCTGGCAGCACCAGGTTTAGGTAACGGAAGCAACGGAGGCGCGTGCCCAGTCAGGCAGATTGTCGAGACTCGGGAAGGGGCGGCAATGTCAAGGTGATGTCAGAAACAGAGTCATCGGAATCAAGAACGTCGATTTGTACCGGAGGAATCCGATGAGCTGTGAAGCTCTTTTTCACAGATGCCCAGTAGGTCTGATCAAATAAGCCCCATGACCAACACGGCATAGGGGAGACCTTCATTCAGCGGTGGACTGACAAAACGTTATAAATAATTATTAATGTTAACATTACGTCTAAAATTATTTATACCCCCACCCTTCTCACCTTCAGAAATTAAGTTTTATTTTAATGTTGTGGTGCTCATGATTTTTTAGAACCACGAGTGGCTACATGGGACAAATAAAATTATTACACACAACGAATATGAATCCAAAGGAATGCATTATCATGCGTAAAATTGGACGGAAGACTTGTAAGGGTAAGGGATCTATTTGAATGTTGCTTGTCATTCATATTCAATCGTGTGATGGTTACAAGATTGGATGTGAATGTGAGAGGGCATTGAGGATATCCAGTCTATGACAGCCTTGCAGTCAGAGGTGGCTGGGTGGGCCAGAGTTCAAAACGCTGAGCCAGCACTCCTGAAATCCTGGGTTTTAATCTGGTCAGCCATCTGTGATTAATCCGAATTCCTAAGTGTGGTGAGTTGATGGTTTCAGCCCAGTCACTAATTTTTGCAAAGAAAACCCATCATGAAAAAAATACCTGGTTTAACACTTGATTTGGCTCCGAAGTTTTATAAAATAATATTGGTTTGATGGTCATGTCAAAGTTTCATAGCCAGCTCCCCCGATTGTGTAAATGATTAAAACTACAATTTAAGGATGTTTCACAAATCCCATCAAACGCCTCTACCATGGGCCACTCCCTGGAGCATGAGGGCCACCGCTCTGTGAGATTCCAAGCAGACACTTGCTCTCACGACGTTACTGCACATCGACACGATGCGAGTTGGGGGAAGGAGGAGGGAAAAAAAATACCAAAAGAATTGAAAAAGCATTTCATCCCACACCCGAGTTCAGGCAACGCAGTTCCGGTGCTCCCTTCCCCCGCCCCCTCCCCAGGGAGGAGGAGCCGGCCTCACCGTGCCGCGATGCCTCCGGGCCGGAGGTTGGAGACGCGAGGCCGCCCCTCCTTGTCCGTGCCGCCCGTCACCGTGAGCCCCAGCGTGCTGCCCTCCTTCTTCATGAGCTCCACCATGGTGCTGCCCCGCAGCTCCTCTGCCGGGAGGCACCGCGTGAAGCCATCACGGCGTGAGTGAGCATCGTAATCACCATGACGACCGCTGCCGTCAAGATCATTATCGCTGTCGTCACCACCGCTCGTTTCGTCACTCGGACAAACCAAGTCTCTCTCGAAAACGCGAACAAACAATGGGGTCTATTTCTGGAGTAATTTGCGCGATGAACACAGATAATAGGATACACCCCGAGTGCCCCCACACCACAGCGGATAAGAGGAGTTTTACTGTAATCACACAAATCATCATTAGCCATTGGCTATCCACCGCTGGATGAAGACTCCCCCCCACCGCCAAGCTGTTGCCATCACTCACGGTCTCGTGATGCAATAAGATGACCTATCTCTGGTGTTCCCTTCTTTGGCTGCCACTCCATCGTTAGTCTTGACCACCGGCCATCAGCTCTTCCACTGACACGTCCAGCTCAAGCACACTTGGCTTTTAATAACATTTTATTTCTAGCTTGCTTATATTTACTCATCCATGCGTTTCTATTGCAGTCTGTCTAAAATATAAATTTATTTAAGAATGTATACTTTTTTTGAAGTGGACAGAAATTCAACCAACAAAATCAAGGAGACTCATAATAGCGATAGGGGACATAAAGTGCCGAAATCATTATTTCAGAGACAGGTGTAAAAGCCCTTTCAAAACAAGTTACTAAAATGCACAACCGAATTACGCCAGGTGCAAAAACGAAAATGAAATGTCTTAAACTTAATTTGTTGCATCAGTGAAGCTCAAAGAAACATGTGCAGCAACGCTAACTCAATCAGCACCTTTTGGTAAACATGCCAAGCCATGTAGCCACTGCAATGCTGGCCTGTGATCAGCACACGGGTGAGGGATTGCCATCCACTCCCTTGTAACAACAAAGGTATCCTGTGGCTCAACAGGCAGTTTTTTTTTTCTCGAATTGAGATCACACCAATGATTTGAAAATGCCAAATATTTATCCAGGGTGTGGTGGAACGAAATACAAGCGTGGTGGATGTTACGAGAGAAGAGGAACAGAATACAAGTATATGGTGGAAGGAAATTTGATCAGTAGATCCCATACAATAATATGTGAATGTATGTTTAACTTCTTTCGCACCGTACGTAGCCAACCGTGCGAATCGGAGGTGCGGGATAATCCGTGCTTTGGCTTGGAAGAAAAATATTTACCCAGGGAAAGCCCCACCGAGTCTCGAAACAATTTATCAGGAGGATCCTGCATTAGGACGTTCGACCAAAAGTAACAATGAGTGTTTGGCTTCATGTGGGAGAAAACCGAGAGCAGTGTTGTCCACTGCGAGGCCCGCGGGCCACTGGCGGCCCCTGTTGGTCTTCAGTGCGGCCCCTGACGTGCGGCCTCCCGACAAAACACAAAAGTGAAAACACTCCCCATCATCATCGTCGTCGTGCCGTCAAACTCCGGGGTTTCAAATGGTGTGGCGGCCCTCACACTGATGATGTCTTATCGGCGAAAGTGGCCCCCCGTCTCAAAACTAGTGAAGAACACTGACCTCGAGGCAACCCAGCGTACATACGAAGGGGCGACAATCACCACTGCCATCTCCTGGCCACCTCGCAGCGCCATGCCTACAACACCCGACAAGCCATGGCGGTCACCCTATTTAAATGCTAACTGGGATCAAGCCCACCCAATTTCCAAAATATGATTAGATCGGGAACATTTTGGGCGATTTTGTCTTCAGCACGTGGTCCGTCGGTCTCACGAAAGACAAACAGTTCCACGCAGGAGTATGCAGACTGCATCTGACCGGAGTAGGGTCATCACTTCATAAATTCCATTTAGATCAAGTGGACCGATCTGCTGTACATGCAAAGCCTTTAAACCAATAACCGTAGATAGCTCAACACACCGTACACGCTGCTCGAGTTCAATCGCCTTCACCGGGCCCCTCCTGCAGTGCCGACGAATTTATAAAAATACAGATAACTGGCTGATCTGCTCGCTCATGTGAGTGTAATGGTGCTTATCTAAAGGCTTCCCTTGCAGCCTAATGGAAATATTCCGAGCGACACTTGTAGATGTTGTTCTACCGCTATTGCTTCGCTTTCTTTGCTCCCCTTCTTGCGCTTATACTCCGATAAGTGCTCCTCCCTGTTCAAGGTCAGCACACATGACTGGATTTTCTTTCCCCTCAACATCCAATTCAATAAAAAACCCAGCCCTACCGTAGCTGCTGAGAAAGACAGTGGACGCGTTGATTGAAGCGAGGGGGGTGATGTAAAACTCCTCTTTACTCCCCCTATAGCCTAGAACTCCCTTCCCACAGCCATTCATGCTCCAGACTCAAGAGACTCCTTTGTTACCCCCTGCCTATAAGCCGGTCTTGCGCTTTCATATAAACACTGTCCACACTGCGTCCGTCTGCACCGTCTTGAGATGAAGTTGCTTTTAGATGCTCCGTAAATCCATATATCGTACAGTGCTGCGATTGAAAGAGTGCTCCGAGGCGGAGACATTTTCGATGAAAATTATTTCAGGGAGCAGTACCCCTTCTTGTGTCGGAGCAGCCCCAGAAGATGACATCACGTGCCTCACTTCTGAATTCACTTTAATTGAGGCTCGAGGTGCACTGAAGAATAACGTATTTACCATTCAGCCAAACACCAGATCTGGGTATTCCGTGAACAACAACTACTTGTGTTGGATTCCCAGCCATTGGCTAGTGTCAATGGCAAAAGGGCGTTTGAACTTGTCCTGGGACTCCCCAAGGTCGACTCAGCCTTAAATGAGTGCCTCGTGCGGAGCTAAAATATCAGCGACTGGGGAGACAAATGGGGCCAGGCGAGGTGGTGGCCACATCACTCGCTCCGGCACTGCTACGTACGGCACGAAAGAAAGCTATACGGGAGAACTTTGTCCATGTATAGTGGGGAGCAGTCGTAGAGCAGTACGATAAAAGCGAGTTGGATTCCCAGCCATGACTAACACCACTGTCAACTTTGCGTCTGAACTTGTTGTGCACCTCCCATAGGTAGACTATGCCTCAAATGAGCAACTGGTATCGGTGAGACAAAGGCAGCTGGGCATGGTGGGTGTCTACTCAACTTCCTCGTGCGACACGCACGAGGGAGTCGTGGGTTCGTCACCACCAGCATTGTGTCGCGACGGTTCGTGATGCTGCACGGGGGATCGTTCGCTTCGTCTGGCAGCCTCACCTGGGATGCTGTGGCGTCTGAGCGCAACCGTGCCATCCACGCGTGCCAGCCCGCTCGCCCGTGCATAGGGTCCATCGTCTGAGGACAAACGCACACGGCAACAGCAGTGGTGCGATGAATAAATAAACGGGCAAACGCAACACACAGACATCCGATAGTCCACATACATGTAAAATAGGCAAGTAAAGTACCGGCTCGCTGGACAAAATGTTGTTCGGCGGCATTTGTTTTTTAGCGAAAACAAGCTTTGTACTGGTTTTGAACTTCTGGGTCTCATCAGTAGGTTTAAACAAATACAGTGGTTGGTGTGTTGTCAGATGTTACGGGCAAGAGCACTATGCAAAAACTGTGGGGTCTGGTTCAGTACAACAGCAAAACCACATCAAATAATACAGAGAAAACAAGATATGATGAAGATTATGCTCCGGTCTAAAGGCGTCTATAATTGACATTCATGTTTGTACTCTCGGCCACACAATGAAAAATAAAAATCCATTACAACTTTAGACATACGTGTGTGTGCGTGCGCACACACGTCTGTGAGCATGAGCACTTGATAGACTGCCAGAGAATACCTTGTGGCCTAAAGATAGTGACCACAAAAAACACACACACAGGACATAATGAACGCTATAAAGTAAATATGGACCAGCTCGGTATGTGAATGAACTCAAGCTCCCAAGTATGGTCTCCCAACCCAGGTGGTCTCAGTGGTAGACCACAAAAAAAGGGACCAGTGTGGATGACGCTTCCTTCAAAGGTCAACGGTTGGAATCCATGTCAAAGCCAGCCTTAAGCCAGCCGGTGTCGTGTTGTAAAAATATTAACAAACAGAGGAGGAGAGAGTCGGTCATCGTTCGGCTCCCTGGTGTCACGTGCATCACGTTCCCAAGGCTACCGGAACGTATGCCGGGCCTGGCGCAATGACTGGGCAAGCGGGCTCGGCACCAACTCCCACGTCGGCGTTACCAACCAAGGCCAAGGCAGCAAAGCTGGGCTGCGAAACTTGTGATGTGTGCCGCACACTTTTAGCTAATCCACGCTCGTAATCAGTCACAGTAAGTCAACCTTGATGCACGCACTCCTTCACACGTGTCCCATGATGGCGGAGTGTCATATTTCAACAGTTTACAACTTGCATTGCACTAATATGGAGCCGACTGGTAAACATGGAAAGGCAGCGCACATGGTGGGGTGAGAAGAACGGCGTTTTATAATCCTCAACTTGGTGCTTTGCAGACAATTTAAAAAGACAGTTGTGATGTTTACAATATTTACTGCGTGCGGAGCAGAGGCACCGCGGTTAGTGCATTTCCCAATGGAATTGGTTACCAAAGTTTGATTTCTGCCCACAGCAAACATCGACTGGTAAACGACATCTGAACCGGTCCCGGGCCCAACCACTTCACCAACCCGCACCGACCAACATGAAGCATGGCAAAAAAAAACAACACCCATAACGGCATGGAGAGGCCTTCATCCAGCAGTGGATCGATAATGGCTATCGATTACAAAAATATATTTCCATGTTCTTCATGCGACGTGAGTGAAAACGTCAAACGTACGGCAAAGGTGCGAGCGGAAAGCATTTAACAACAGCAGCTGCTGCACCTGTCAACAAACTCTTGATTACTGTTCAGGAAGCTCACGATGAGCTGAATGCAAACACTTCTACAATGTCTGGAGACGGAAATGCATTTCATTACAAACCTGTCGCTGTCCTCGAGCTATCCATTTTGTTTTAATGATATTTATAGATTTTATTTTTGGGGTTTGAATTTTTTTTTTGCCGTCCCAGACAGTGAACAAAATTTTTTGTTACTGCGAAACGGTTAACAAAAGTCACCGCCGCAGCTACATCTGATGCGTCAACAAGCCGCGCGGCGTCTAAACTACAAACATATATATAGATTTCTTCCGTTGCCGTCATAATGCTGTTCAGTTTAAAAATGACCGGCGTACATTACTTATTGATTTACTTTTTTGTGTCAAGAGATTTCATTTCATTCAAAGGCTGACCGTGCCACGGTGGCGTCGGCTTTGAATGGCACGCGTTGCTGCCGTGAAAAATGAGTGGCGCACGAGTTCAACCGACGGAATTGATTGTTTGGGAGGGCCCTCACGACGTACTTTTGAGGCACACGAGCGTGTCCCTTCTGTGCGCGCTCGCCGGTATCACATTCGCGCATTACCGGCATTTCTCTCGTCAAGACTGGTCCCTTATAGCGGCAAAGTCCTTTGAGTGCTCAAACCCTGACCCTGCCTCTCGTGGTCACGCAGCTGTATAAACGTGGATTGCTTTACAATAACACGCGTGGAATATTTTTGTTTTATTCTTCTTCTTCCCCTCCTCCTCCTCCATGTTATTTTAATCCGGTCTGTGATTGATAGCTAGAAGTCATGATCTTGGCTTAACCTCAGAGAAATTGCAGGTACATTTGCCTTGATTTATAGGCCTCACCGTTGTAAGTAAAATACTGCGGAGGGGGGAAAAAAACTCCAATAGATTAAAGTAGATTTAATGTGTTTTATTTAGAGTCATTTAGCAAACCGCGGATGAATGAAGGCCTGTCCATGAGTTTCCATCATCAGGCTCGTTTGACCATACTTCACCATGTTGGTCAGTGACAGTTGGGGGAAGTGGGGACCTGTGCCAAGCCTGGGATTTGAACTCACGTTGCCGGGTTCACAAGGCAGTGCACGCTAACCACCGAGCCCTCACTCCTGCACACTTCAATATAAACATGAAATTAACAACAAAGCAACGTAAGGTAAATGTATATATATATAAGTGGCTATTACACCACCCATTCTTAAAATAAAACGATCAGAAGCGCATTCCACCATATTTTTAATAATTAAGTCTAACTCGTATTTTTGTTTTAACACAGAATGGCTTGATGACATAAGAAGAGATTGGAGCCAGAAAGATGTTGCAGAACTTGAACATTATTGGCACTACAAGACAGAGGAGAGTGGAAACAAATGACGAAAATGTGAAGTGGACACCTACGGGGCTATCTGCCCCATGGATCGTGATGATGATGGATTTTTGTTTAGGCAAAAGCTGCTCCTGCAATGGTGTCCACAGCTATTTACATCTGGTCTGACAGCTTCCCCTTTAAAAAAAAAAATTGGAATGGGCGGCAGTTGTAACTCTTCAACGTACGAACACAAGTAAACCATTGTTGGAGGGACACAACTGGAAAATGCTAACGACGATGCGTATATATCGGGCAATTGTTAAAGGCAGGGCAGATTCGAGTGCTCCTGGAAATTTGAATCTGAAAATGTAAAAAAGGGAGACCACGAGATATGGCAACAACGTGGGGAGGCCTTCATCCAGCAGCGGATAGATCAAGGCGAATAATGATGATGATGATGAAGGCAATGTTGATGACAAACAGTTGCTGATGATGATGATGATGAAATACAATTTCAGAGACCAGATTGCAAAGTAAACAAATCGTTGCACTGCACGGCGGCAAATATTTTGACATTTGTTTACGTGTGACAGATCACCCCTACGATCCACTGGGGCATTTAAAAAAAAAGGATTGTTTTGTAAAGGTCGATTACCTCCAGGCTGCTCCCATCACCAAGTCCACATGGCTCTGCCTTCCTAAGTAAACGTGAACCATTGCTTCTGGAATGCGTAACCCTCAGGTGTCCAGGGAGAAACTTTAAAATACGACCACTTGGCAGTAATTTTATTGATCGGCAAAGCATTTTATTTCAGACTTCGGGGGGGTAATATTTAATGATTTATATTTGTTCACTTCTGGCTTCAATTGGCTATGCCGCTGATCAATGAGGAAATTTAGTGCTACATTTTACTGTACGAGGTCGCATAATCGATGATGAAATATAGTTTGTAGTTTTATTACTTTGCCCTGGCAATCAAATTAAAAGTACAAGATGTACACGGCATCTTAAAATCGGTCGTTGGCAATTGCCATGAATGTACTATTGTGCTTACTTGTTATTTGTGGGTGGCTATTACTTTATTTCCCTCGCAGGTGTTATTATTAGTTTGCACGGGCAGTGCAATAAAGTTGAAAGATTTGACAAGGTCATAAAACTGATGTTGATAAATTATGGAATTTTTTCATGGGATTATTACGTGTTATTGCATTCTCGTGTATGCCCAGACTTCAATTAACCATTCCAAAGAGCAAATTAATTGCAGGGCTGTGCTCATTTCCCTTTCGTCCCTCAAAAGCTCGTGTTGATTTAAAAAGCGGCTGGGTTGCCCAGGCCACTGAATCCTGGTAGCCAAACATGATTCTAGTGGTTTCTCAAATGTAGTGAGGTGATCGTTTCAGCTCAGTCATCAAAGACTGCACAAACAAAACCCTGAACATTTTAATTTGGTTTCGCTAATTTCCAGTAATGTCAATAAGAAAAATAACCATTTCACTGTCATAATTGTGGTGAGCATTACTCTGTATAGCAGGACTTGTGGGAAAGAGCTGGCCTGTAATGTGGATAAGAAGTCACATGAAGGGATCTCAGACGTAGTTCTGTGGTATTTCATTCCCTGGACTGTTCTCCATCACAGGGTGTTGCAGTACTCTGCGAGCATTCCTCACGGATCGTTCATCGCACGGCATGATGCGACAGCACAATTGGAATAACATTAGGGAATAATGACGACAAAAATAGTGGATTTCAAATCGGGTGCCATCCTGTTAAGCCAGGTGCCAACTGTTATTTTGAGTCATGTATTATACAGAGTGGCCCATAAGTCTGGAATCATAGGGAAAAATAACTAATTCTTTTGACTTAAAGCTTTAGTGACTGCAGGAATTCATATTCTGCAGAAATTCATATTCATAACCAACTGAGGACCAAAACCATCACCTTGCCATACATAGCAGGGGTCACAAAAAAGATCTCCAAAATCATAAGCAAACACTAGATCCAGGTTCGATTTAACACAGTTCATAAAATTCGTGATCTGATCCCATCTGCGAAGAATAATATTCCTGACATGCAACACCCCGGCGTCTACGAACTCAGCTGTGTCTGTGGGGAAACTAAGCAACATGTCTCGGACCGTGTTCGTGAACATAAGG